ACTTCTCATTATGTCAGTACTTTTTTTTACAGTGTCTTTCTATCCTTTTCAAGCCTGATGTGTGACTAGCTTATGAAATTACCTTCAGAAAGACGTCGACAAAGCGGTCGATGCTGCAAACAAGGCTTTCGCGAGAGGATCACCGTGGCGCACCATGACACCATACGATCGTTCACGCCTCCTGCATCGTCTGGCTGATCTGATCGAACGAGACAGGGTTTATTTGGCGGTGAGACTAAAATTCAGTCCAGTTATGAATTTAGACTAAAACTCAGTAATTATTTAATTTTAAAAAACTAATAATCTGACACTCCCGTTTGAGCCAGTTTTACATTTGAGATATCCAGTTTGCTTTCAGACTTAGGGAGGGGTAAATAGTCGTTACTCTCTTGGGTGAAATTTAATGCACTGGAGCAAAAACAGTTTCAAATATGAATAGTTAATAATAGAGTATTTTCAATTACGATGCTTTTATTTATTTCACTGTTTAGTTGTTCATTTTAAGGACTCCATATTCTTTACAGGCTGGAAGGGGCAAGAACTTCAGGAGGAATTAGAATGATTACAGTCCTTCTGCAGTCGGGTGAGTTTATGGGATAGCTTGCAGACGAGATTTTGTCTAGAGTTTAATATTCCTCAATCATTTTGCCTCCCGTCTGCCTTTTGGCCGCCTATCATGTGGCTTTGCTAGCACAGTTTCTCTTATGAACCTCTCCTCTTCCCTTCTACTCTTAACAGTATACAATTAGTAGTTAATTAGTACTAAATGGGTGATGTAATCAATAGTGAAGTAAGTGATTCACTTCAAAGTCAATATCGCCATCGTTGGTAAACACAGTTCCGAGATAATTTAAGTGGTCCATCTTGTTCATCGTAATACTGTACCAGAGTGTCTTGGGCTGAAGGTTTCGCAGTGAGCGGCATCATAATCTTCGTACGTGTAGCACATCCTTTTGATGAGAGTCAGTCGGCCACTTGACGAGTCGCTTAGCATTACGGTGCCACACATATACAAACATAATCTGAGTAAGAAAGTACACCGATGAAGGTGAAAGCTGACAGCAGTACTTGCATCTAAGGCGAATAAATAATTTGTTTCATAGTTTTAACGTCAGTCATATACGTGGTACTAAAATCGATCAGAATTAATTTCAAAAATTCCTTTACGTGTTTTGTAATTTTTTGCAACTATAGTTTGGACTTAGCTTAGTTACGAGTAGTACCGTGCCGCTTCAGATAAAGAGTCTGTAGGGCCTTGTCGAACGCGGCCTCATAATCTTGGTTCGTCACGACTCAACCGTTTACTGTAACCCGTCCCGTTTGTTGCCGTAAAATCTGCAAAAGCCTGTAATCCATAATGCGTGATTCATCGACATACTACCGAAAATGACCGCCGACTGCTACCCGATGTCCACTTTGTTGTGCATCCGGAAGCTAAGGAACGGATCAACGATGACGCTGAACATCTGGTCGTCAGACTCCCGCAGTTCCCATGTGATCATTCGGTATCCTCCATGCGAGGTAATCGTCGCCGTCGCATCGCATCTTTTTTTAATTTCTTTATCGTTCGTCACCTCGATTTGCGACAACAGTTTCTGAAATTCTTTACGAATCATTTGGAATAAAAATTACAAGCAAAATACCAAGAAGTAACGTTACACCTCTGCACTGGTAGTAAACAGTCGAACTACAAGCAGTATTAGAAAGGTATGTTTCATGCTTTCCTCAGTAGTCATACAGTCTTTCAACCGTTTTCTAAGTTATGCATTTCGATTATTGTTAACAAAATCTACGCTGTTAAAGTTCATGTATTGAAGGTACCTGGAAAAAGCTATACTAATGAATTAGCATTAGAACATTATCTTTCGTTTCTTTCTGTCCTTCTGAGACCGTGGAAATCATGGGAAATAATGCAATGCTGACTACTGGTAAAGTTCAGTTCTGACCGCAATCCCGTTCAAAGTGTGCCTGGTTCTCAAATCTGCCCATGTCACGTTTCCTGTTTCCACTGGATAATCCGTTTTATTTTCAGTTGTCATATCCTCTCGATATTTCCTCAATTATGGTTCATTTTGTATATAGAAATGACTGATTCAATCTACAGCTGCTTTTGTGTTTAGAGTTTGGAAACTTTGGACAATGGCAAGCCGTACTCTGCCTCGTTCTTGGCCGATCTCGAATTGACAGTTAGATGTTTCAGGCAAGTTTCAATTAATATGATTTGCTTTTTCTATAAACAGTTTCTAATGTGC